TTTTTAAGATTAGGCACAACTTTTACAACCAAAATGAACATCAAATAAATGCCTTTTTAAAGATTAAGTACAACCTTTTTAACTTTTACTCAAAGGTATAACCTTAACACTACTTTTTTAAAAAAGTATAACTTATACAATAGTGGAATTTTAAAAAAACCTTGAGCTCAAAACCTCTAATAAAGCTAGTAGTGAATTTGAGTACAAAAAGGTGAAAGCTACCTCAAGAATGATAAATGACAAAGAAAAGTTTAGGCTCAAGAAACTATAGCTAAGATAAAGATCAAATTTTAATTTTTTTCTCTTTCTTAAAGAAAAGATTTGCTCTCTTTCATGTTTTCCCTATTTTCTCTACACTTTAAAATATTTAAATCATTCTTATCTTTCCACTCATTCAAATTGTTGCTTTTAAAGTTTTTTTCGACAAATATTTATAGGCTTTGAAGAATATACCCGTTAGAATAGATTTCAAAATGATTTTTGTACATTTTGGTCAGTTTGCACATTTCTATTGCATATGTAGAATCGGTTCTTTGTTTATAAGTAGTCAATTCTCCATAAAGTTTAAAATTTTTTATTTATGTAGAAGTGATTCTTTTTTCTTGAGATGTCACTTTTTCCATAACTTGGTTCAATTATGACACTTTTATACTTTTGTAGAAACGATTATTTTTTTCAAGGTGTCAATTCTTAATTGTGGTCCGACGTCAAAATTTGAATTTGAGTTTGATTTTTGACGCTCCAATCTTTTCTAATTATATTATCTCTTTCTTCTTCACTAAATTTCTGATTTTGTCTTGATGCTTCAAGAACCGATATCATCTTCTTCCAGAATTGATTGTTTGTCTTCAAATTTGAGATATTTGATTCATTCTTGCTTAGAGCTGACGATTGCTTCATAGAGAAATCATTCTTTCATGCCCAATTTCTTCCTTCTGCATTCTGTTTTTTCAGAATTGATTTTTGCTCTTTAAGATGTCGATTTTTCTCAAATTTTGAATTTTCTATCTTCCAAAAATTGATTTTTTTTTCTTAAAATCGATTCTTCATGTAATAAGAGAATAAATTTTGCTTTCCACTTATTTAAGAATAGATTCTTAAGGTTGGCACTTGATTTCAAATTTTCTTAAAAAACATTTTTCTTTACAAGCTAAACTTAAAAACTCTTAAAGATTTTCTTCAAATTTAGAAATATTTTCTAATCATTTCCATATCATATTTAGATCAATCAATTTTACTATTTCAAAACCAAAGTAAGCTAACAATATTTTTCATGAGAATTAGCTAATGATATGTGAAAAATATGCATTTTTCAAAAATATTTTTAATAAAAATATATTTGAAAATTACTCTATTTAAAATTTTTACAAAGTGTTTTTTTCTTCAAAATTTAACTATGATTTATGAATAAATAATGGTCAAATTTTAAAAAAATAAAATAAAATTTAGACACTAATTATGAGATGAGAAAGTCTATATTTAATATAATTAAAAGATGAATGAAAGTTAAAACATTTTTATATAAATATATGTAAAAGGAATATGCTAAATTTAAATGAAATAGTAAAGTAATTGCATAAAAATGCAAATTTCTTTTGATAAGTAAAAAATAAATAGTTTCAAACATTATAATTCATATTACACATAAAGAAATAAATAAAAAAAGCCTAACTAAAGATTTCGTTTAAAAGTACAGCATAATTTGCAAAACTTCCAAAAACACCAAAATGCATGGTGATAGAAAATAAAAGAAGAAAAAAGTAAAGAAAAAGGTTGTATCTAGAGCTGATTTGCTAAGCAAAATATATAGCAACTAAAGTTTACTTAATCAATAGCACAACCCATGATCTAGATGGCTAGAAACACCTCTTATTCTTGTAGAGATCTTAGTTCGAGGGCTGCCAGCAGTGTTGGTAGAAGTTGTTGAAACCCCAATTTGTAAAATGGGAGACCATATTATAAATTTTTAGAGGTGTTAGAATGGAAATTTTTGCTTTTTACCTTAAAACTTTCGCATGGATTATTAAAAGGGATGTCAACGGTGAAATTAAGATTAATTTTACGTTTTGAGAGCTAACAAGGGATCTTGGGGTCAAAATGAAAATTTTCAGTTTTTATCTCAAAACTCTAGCATGGATTACTAAAAGGGAGGTCGGTGATATAGCTCTGTTGTAAAATTAATTGTTGATTAATTGTTGTTGGTATCTTAACAAACATACAAATTATTATAAAGATAAAATTATAAAAAAAATTTAAAAATAAAGATATATTATAAAATGTTAAAAAATTTTCAAAGGAGGAGGACCGTAACAACCTCCCATGAAAAACTCGTTTTGGGCAGTACCAGTCACTTCCATTCCTCCCATTAGACCAAATAATGGTCGTACTTTGACATTAGTTAACATGCAATGATTAGTTGATAGACGGTGGGTATCTCTGACCCTTAAACCATAAACCTAAACCTAAACTTAAACTTAGTTGACAAATTAGTGAATTAGGGGGGAAAAGGAAAGGAAAAACCGACGCATGGCTGTCCCACTTTCCATGGTTCCAGAATGTTGATAGAAGTTTAACATGTGATCCCTCATCTTGCCCAATACTTGTCCATAAAGTCTGCCTTCACAATTAAAAAGTGAAAAACTGTGCACAAAAAGGTTGTCATCAAGCCACGACATTATTAAGATGAGGGAGAGAGAGATATGATCCATATTTCCGTTGACTATTTTTTGCAAAAGCCAAATGAATCCTGGTCTTCCTACACGCATCATTCATGAAACAAAACTTTCTATTTTCAACCCTCATACAGGGAAAACCGACCCTTGCTCATCTATTACAATATTTGAGAAAACAAGACTGGCCATGTGCTACTCCTTTTTTAATTAATTTATTTATTTTATAAAATATTATTATTTTATACTATTGACATGAAAATTTTAAATTTTATAAATAAATTTAAATATTTATCATATGTTTATTGAATAATTACGAGAATCAGTATGGAATCGATTTTTAAAGCTTAAAAAATTATGGTTAATGTGTAAAATAAATTTTTGCAAAAGAAGACAAAATATTACTCAAGATATATATGTATATATGGAAGTGTCCCCTTAATTCTGTTTATTCAAAGAGCATACTGCACACACCTTTTTCCTAAAAATGGGAGGTTGTTTTCAGGATGTGAAATGTTATGTGAAGGTGCATTGATCTTTCAAACGTGGTGGGGTTCTGCCAATAATGAATTAGTCTCCCTTATCAGAAAACAAAAAAAATCCTGTCTCATACCTTTTTCCTGCCCAACTCTCCATTGCATAAAGTAAAGGCTCTGATATCTCGAGCTAAGCTAGCTATGTGTATTTTAAATGAATAGAGGCATTGGAACACTTTTCCTCCTATAATGATAAAGCTGGTACAGACATAATATGTCAAGCTAGAATTACCTCCAAGTGTAATGAAGGAAGGAAGAATAAAAAAAAAAAAACAGTGAAATATGATGGTAACAAAATTAAGCTGCTAGTGTAATAATAGGTCTTTTTTTTTTTTTTTTCATTTTATGTGATTAAACTTCCCAGCTGACCTTTTCTATGTTTGGTACAAATTTCCCCTCTGAATATTCTTAAATTCAGGTGTGTTTATAGGAAAAAATGAGACATCCGAAGATTTCTTGAGAACTGTATTATAAGTTGGCTAGAGGCTTATAGGTCGGCTTCACCAGTGCTACAAGCAAGTCACTGTTTCAGGGTGCGCCTATAGAAGTGATTTACTGTCATTGTCCAAGAAGAATTTTGCTTTTAATTAAATCACTTTTTCAGCAAACCATATGTTTCATTTTAAGTATGAAGACGGGAAACTAACACATGTTTTTATCAAGTAAAACAGTATTAAGAAAGCTGATTACAGCATTTACAATCCCAAATGATATATATGGATATCACACCCCGGCGTATATCTCCAGCGCATCATCACTTATATTTGAAACAAAGTAGGAGAAATAGTCTGCAAATTTGAATGGCCGGTAAAGGAGTGGATGTTCATTGTCAACAAGTTCACGCGGCACCTCAATCATTGCTCCTTCCTTTGGCAAAGAAAACAGCCCGAAAGAGTACCTCTCTTTGTCGGCCTTCATCACCACCCTGTGCTTCACAGCAACAAGTCTTCCATTGCTCCAGGCCTATAGGATTGAGACATTTTTAATTTATTCATTCATGTCAATCGTTTTCATTTAAGCATGCTGGGTGATAATGCATTCATATCTGATAAATCTACACATATTCGATAATACAGGTTCTAAGATGTATACTTATTTCTTGTTTGAATATGAAAATTGAGATATCTTTAGTTTATTCATTGTCATAAATTTAATGTGGAACTAATCAATAAGCATAAGGTGTAATTGAATAGATTAAGACTCAGTATTTAATGAATATAACAGCGCTAACCATCTTCATCAATCTTTAATAGGAAAATGTATAAATCCCATGAAATAAGATGAGTTTTTAACATTGATTATAGCAAAATCAAAAGGTTTTACCAAGGGATCAGGTAGAGTACTTGCCATATGTTCCAAAGTGAAAATGTCATCAATGAGGGAATCATTTATAAGAGTACTTACCTTAAGGGCATCACCAACAATGACTACAAAAGCATCTCTGGGAACCACCACGTGTTCCCAACGGCCTTCTTTAGTCATAACCTCAAGACCTTGCACATCATTTTGGCATAGAACAGTTAGAGCATTCTTGTCTGTGTGAGCCACAAGACCGAGATTTTCTTCCTCCCTGGGAGGAACTTTGTACTTCATTATACGGAAAATGCTAGTGCTGTCCCTCACAAGCGCGTCGTAGTTCTTTTCTTCCATTCGAAAGCTCTCGAAGATCATTCCCAGGATGGTAAAATTTAGCTTTAGCAGCTTGGAGCTCATGGAATTGAGTATCTCACTATCATAATAACCAGGAAGAGGACAACAAAAAATTAACAGAAGAAACATCAAAGATAGTTTTAACATTTCTGAAGCTTAATTAATTAGTAGTGAAAATATTGGAATATCTGTGGCCTCAATATATGAGGGGGGTTGCGTAAGAAACAATAAGTCTAAGTAATGTAATTATGACTGGAATTTTGTGATTGCTGATTGAGAGTTTTCAGTTGACAAGTATCCGACCAGATCGCAGCTGAGTATTTGACAAAGACTTAAATGAAACTGCACCAGACACCAGTTACAAAGAGGCTGCGTTTATTTCTCTGTGATGATTTTCTGGCAAAGGCATGTGCAGTTTGTGATATAAACAATCATTTCAAAGCTGGCACTGTATTAAATACAAATCTATTTCAAGGATAAGCCATATTAAATATGGAATTGGCAGGTAGTGGAGGCGTTTGGTGGCAGCCATTATCATGTCAAAAATATAGCTTTCTGTTGTCATAAGAGCTTAAAAGCGGTTGTCTGCTTTGAATAGACTTTGCGAATTAATGGACGAATGGAATCGTATTATATGATTTTCAAGTTAATTTCCTCGGTTGATTGTGACTAAAGGTATTGGGTTTCAGAAACAATCCTTACGAATAATTATATCGAAATTTTAACAGCCATACGTTTTTTAGTCTGGTAAAGCAGGAAAAAGATACTCAACTTTTGCAGAAAGATGGCATGACAAACTAGCTTACAAAAATTTAAAATGTTAACTGTAAAGGAAACAGGTAAGTAATGAATCCATGAGAAACGTGTGAGAACCTCAACATTCTGTCATAAAAACGTATACATCTATCTTCTTTATCAAGAAACTGGGTTTAATTCACTCAAATGTTCAAGCTGGTTTTAATTCGCTTAAAATTTGATACATTTATATAGTTATTTACCTCTACAACTGGAAAACAAAAAGATAGTATAGTAATATGTTAGCTTGAATTCAGTGATTTACAAGTAGAATTTTCATATTCAGTTCATCTACTCTGAATCCGATCGCTATCATTCTTTGAGAAGAATATATAGAAGCATTGATGCGAAAAAGTTACTAATGCAAACAAACAGAAGCTTTGGCCATAATTCAGAAGCTACTAATGCATGTAGCTCTTTTCTACTGCATGTTAACAGTCACAAACCAGAAAAAAAAAGGAAAACAAGAGCAAAGAAGAAGAAGAAGAAGAAGAAGAAGAAGAAGAAGAAGAAGAAGAAGAAAGATGAGGGAATGGGACATTCAAGCTTATTTTTGAACAAAAATATATATTTTACCTGAACGCTGGGTTTCCCTGAGGCCACATGAGCTGAGTGAATTCTTGAGCCGCTTCAAGCCGTGTTGCGTCGTCGATGCCGAAGCTCTCATGCAAAGGAACCACGGGGCACTTGCCCTGATAGCTGCGGTAAGGCTTAGGGTTCTGGTACTTATTCTTGGTCTCTTCAGGGAGATCGAACAATGCCTTCATGGCTACCAGCATATCTTCACGTAGACTTGTTGGGATCTTATCGTACATTAGGAGGAAACAGCCATGAGTCTCACATGCCTCTCTAACTTTGCTACACAACAGTTCCCAGCACTCACCCCCACGCTCCCTGTCAAGATCCTCCCCTGAAAAATCAAGAACTGGGATTTTAGCCCCATCCATCTCCCTCTCAATCTCTATCTTTCCCTCTCTTTCTCGAAGCTAAAGCACTGTGGATAGAACAAAGGTTCCTGGTTTATAAGGGACTTACTCTAGACATCTTCAAAGGTGCTCTACTTTTTTAAGCAAGTGATTTGGGCACCCTTCCACTCTGTTCTATAGCTCACCATTTTTTTCGCTTGTGAACCATATGTGGAGCGGGATTTAAAGAGTTAAGACCAACACAGCAAAAAAATATTTAAAATTCCAAATAAAATTTAATGCAAATTAGCGGAGAGCCCATCATTGTTTACTATATATAACTAGTTTCGTGTTTAAATTAATTGACAATATGTACATTTCATCACGTGAACTTCACGTGATTATAATTGTGTATAAATAACTTCATGGGACCTAAATAAATAATGTGAACATTTAATGAGATATCTTGGATATACCTTATTTACAATCAAAGTTTCTTTGTAAATAGCTGTCACCTTCAAGTCCTTGAAACCAAAATATATATATTGAACTGTAAAGTACGTAATAGCAAAGGATGGAATAAATCAAAGTGGAGAGAGAGAGAGAGGGAGAGAAAGCAGCACCCACCGTCCCAATGCTCGCGTGGCATCTTATTGCTATCTGATGACTCTGACAAAACAAAGGCAATTATGTCAGCATTGTAACAACCAGTGGAAAGAGTGTAGGGGCGCTCAATCAATCAAAACAAAAAAAAGAAGAAAAAGGGTTGGTGCGCCCCTAGTGGAAAATGTTTCTGTTGCAACGCTTGGCATTTATGTATGCCTGATGGAGTAGCTATAAACCCATTTACCAATTAATGCTTTTTGCCATAGATATAGAAGCAAGCATATTCCTTTTAGGGGGGCCTGAACAGAAGCATACCATAACAATAATGAGTTCAATTGTTTGCCTTGGTCTGTTTGAAGGGGCTTGAAGAGGTTCAAAACAACCAGCCCCCTACTTCTTTCCATCGGTTAATTGAGGACACATGAAATTTCCTACAGGCTCCGGGTCCTCTCTCTGGTAAAGGCCATTTGGGTCCCCATGGTCAATGATAATTACAAACCGTCATTCTCTTTCAAGTTGCAATTTAAAAAAAAATAATTAGAAGATTGACCCAACATTTCAAGATCATTCTGATTCTATCTTTGTATCAGAATTTCATTAACCCATTGTTTGGAAGCTTGTATCGAGTAAATCTGTACGCGTGGAAAATGCCCCCATTCTTTCATACAACATCCTGTTAATCAGATTGACAAGAGGAGAAACATTTGACTCGGGATTATCAACTCAAAGAAATTAGCAACTCTTTTTATTGTTTGCATGGCCATGAACAATGGATCTCTTTTTCTTTGCCCACAAACAATGGATCATGTTTCATGCACTCCCTCTGAACGACTGTCACTTGTAGGTTTCATCTCTTGGGTTCAAAACAACAAAGCAAAGTACCCCACCTACTTAATTCGGAAAAAAGAGATCCCAACTTAATTCTTTTAATATATATATATATGTATATTTAATTTTAAACTAAATGTTAGACACAATCATCACGATTATAATTTTGTAGAGACTCTTTAGATAATTAAGAGGTTGGGTAATTGGAAACAAAAGGCAGGACAAAATTGACTTGTTAATCTAAAACCTCTGTACATTATCAAAGCTTAAGCCGGTTACGTACGTTAATTGATATAGTAATTAACTAGAAAGAGGTGAGAAAAGAAATTAAGCAGAAAGCAGAAAGTTTAAACATCAGCGTCCAAAAACACTTGAGTGAGGAATTTAAATCCTAGGTATGACCTTTTGTGAGCAAGGAATCTCTATTTATGGTACTCAGATGTCAATGAGGGGATGAGTTGGTTCAGGGAATCAGTTAGCTTTAGTCAGTTTGGGAAAGGATTATGAAGATAAAAAAACAGGTGGGATGTGTATGTAGCAACCTAACTTGCATATGTAACCAAAAATTTAATTCAGATGGGACACACACCAAGAATTGTTCTGATTGAATTGGCAAGTCGGCAGCCAGCCCACATGATACAATGTATGCTCTATAAATCATCTCCCCAGCTAGGGGGGCTCCTGGTAACATAATTAATTGGTTTGAAAGTCGGTCCAACCACCATGTGTTCATGATTTTGCTACATTTACCGGTGATAGTAAGAAACAAAACTTACCCAAAACTACTTATTGCTTTAATTAACTATAACTTTGTTATCCAAAATGAACAATTAGCAAGTTAGTACACATGAAGAAAGACCATTAATTTCTTCTGAATTTCATAAAGAAAGACCATGTATGCTTGGAACAATGTTACTTTCTTCCCATTTCCATGGAAAATTGCTGCAAGAGAAAGCTTGAAGGCGAAGAAAATGAACTTGTATTGTCAATAAAGAAAAGAGTGAAGACTAGCCAGGTAGCCTTTGATTTATTCCCTTGAATTCATCCCTCTTTTTAGAGATAAATCATACTTTAGAAACTTATAGGTGGTCCAAGAGAAAGGAACGCGATGATTGAGTGTGCCAGTCTACGTTGAAGCTGGTCCTCAATCAATCAGCAGAGAACTGAGAAAGCTTTATTCACTAAGCACCCTTGAAGCTGTCATAAGATATGTACGCAAAAGGAATCCAACACATATTTGGGTGCTCACTCTGTTGATCATGTGGACCTTAAAATTCTTCGCAAAGATCAACATCACAAGTTGGCATTTTCCTTTCATTGCTTTATTAGACCATACAGTCGTTCATAAGTCACAAGAAAAAGTCAATGTTAGGGAAGGAAAAGGTCGCCTAGAGGGTGGGGCCACTTAATTTTCAGGCACCCATCTGCCCTTCTCTAGTTTGTTCTATGGTGGCGGAACCATTGACATGAGTCCATGAATTCGGGCATTGCCCTAGCTAGCTGGCCCTTTTCTTTATCATGCTCCCGAAGCAAAGCCAATTTCAACTTATATACTCACAATCCCTATGGTTAATTAGAAACTGCTCTTGTTCTTTTGCCAAAAGGCTTTTTATTCGGACCATATATAATCTCATTAATTTCCTTGATCCAATTGTTCTTTGCTCCCTATTTAATTTGAGAGGTAACTATATGGTCCAATTTCAATTAATATGATATTTGGTTCTGAGAATGCTTGTCATTAAGCTTTTCTATACATATTTACTAAATATTTATCCAAATAATCACTTAGAATCCTTATGTATATTAAGCATATTTCTAAAATCAATTGGGAATTAGTAGGCAAAGAGATTTAACTTGAACATAAGACCATATTCAAGATCACTTCACCAATGCAAAATACTACTAAACAATTAATGTAATAATTTTTTTTTGGCATAATGTTTAAAAAAGTCCTTAAACTATTAAAGAAAAATTTAGATAGGTCTTTATTCTTCTATTGTATTCAATCAAACTTTTATATTTTTATTTTAGACTACATAAGTTCTTATTACCAACTAATTACCATTAGTCAAAACATTAGTTATCATTTTATATCTATGAGGTGTTGATATAATATTAACATGGAGGGTAAAAAATACTACATACTCATGTCATCATCATGATGATATGTTAATATACCATGTCAATCTCGCGTGACATAGAATAACAAGTGTCATAACATGGTGAGTCATGGAACTTAATAGTTTGACTTGAAGTCAGCATCAATTTTTTTATTTAGATGTGATTGGTCACTTAGACGAATCTATTTTTTATAAGATCTTAAGTTAGACTTAGACTCAGTAATAATAGGTTCTAATCTACGAAGCAAATTGGGGTTGAAAGTCTTTTACATGTGAGAAAGGTATTAGCATCCCTTTGACGCTCATTTAATTGATATCTTATCAATTATGTGCCCTTTAAGCCTTATTAAATAAAATCTAATCCAATGTTTTAATTCTATTTTCCTTTCTTATTTCTAATTTATTAATTTTTTGAAATAAATAAAATATTTCTTGATATTGAAAAATTTCCAAAATCTCTGAAACACTCAGGGTAATATTTTAGAAAATTCTCTCACTTAAAAATTCACAAGAAGCCACTTTTGGTTTTCTTGAGATTTCATCATTGGAAAACTTACTTATTTAATTATATAATTTTATCTTTTAATTTATTTTTTGCTTTATATTTTATTGGTTTTTTGAAATAAAAACTCTTGATATTGAAAATTTTTCAAAATCTCCCTAACTTTCATGGAAAAAATTTGAAAAATTCTCTCATCTAGAAATTCTCAAGAAACAACTTTTGGCTTTCTTGAGATTTCATAATTGGAAAACTTATTTATTTAATTTTATAATTTAATTTTATAATTTATTTTTTCTTATTTTTATTTTATTGGTTTTTGGAAATAAAAATTCTTGATATTACAAATTTTTCAAAATCTCCCAAACGCTCATGGTAAAATTTTGAAAACTTCTCTTACCTAGATATTCTCAAAAAGCCACTTTTGATTTTTTTTAAAAAAATTTCATCATTAGAAAATTTCTTGAGATTTCATTATTAGTAAACTCATATTAATTATGTATTAACTCCTAATTTTGAAAAACAAAATAAATAAATAGATAAATTATAAAAGAAAATTAAAAACAAATCAAAAAAATTTAAAAAAATTTACAAGAACTCATCTAATTGGGTTGAGAAACCCAAAAAAAAAACCAAACTATTAGGTGGCGTTTGGTACTTTACAATGCAATGTGATTACAGGTAATGTGATTGCAAGTAATGTGATTACAAGCAATGTGACTACAGGGAACATAATATTACAGTGTTTGGTATACAAGTAAAACAATGATTAAAATACAGGGAAGATAACATTATAACATTTGGTTTATAAGTACTTTGCTAGGAATGTGATGTTAATTTTTAAAATTACCCATAGTTATTAAAATATAAATTTAATATATTTATATTTTTTATTATTAATTTTTATATAATATAATCTCTTAAATATATTTTTAATGTCATATATTTTATTTTTATTTATTATTATAATTTTTTATATTTTATTTTTATTTTTAATATATTTTTTATATTATATATTTTATTTTAATTTGTTTTACCTATATTATATAAATTTTAATTTTTTATATTTTATTTTATTTTAATTTTTTATTATTATATTATATATTTTATTTTAATATTTTTTATTTTGATTATAATATTATAAACTATTTTTAATAAGATAATAAAGTT